AAGGATTTGAGTAAAAGAGCAGAGACTTTAGTTTCTCGGGGGTTGGGGGCTCCGAGAGCTGTGGTTACAGCATGCGGATCTTTGGCGGTATGGGGCCGAGAACGGTCCGGCGGTTCAAACGGGCGAAGGCGAGCATTGAGGAGGTAGTCGCGGTAGGCTGCGGTACGATGGCGCTCAATTATTGTATCAGTGAGCACACTATCGGGTAATAGAGATCCTTGATAAATCCGGCTTGGCTGAGAAAACCCGCACGTAGCCTCCAATAAAGCCAATATATCACTAACCGCCTGGAGGGGTAGGTTTTGACGGAAGTCTGGCCCTACCATGCTCCAACTCTGCGACAGCCACCCAAGAACCTTGTCGGAAAGTTGAATGCGATATAAGCGCATATCTTGGCTTGCGAGGCGAAGACAATCGCAGAGGAAGGCACAGACGCTATCGAATGGGAAAGCGGGTCCTTGAATAACGAGGTTAGCGGCAAACGTTTCAATTTCAGGCAATATACGATGTAGTGGCAATCTTTGGCTTGCTAGAAGCACGTGCGCAGCATGAGATGCTGCGCGTCCGACTCCGAGTACGTTAGTACGATGAATGGCTTGGCTCCATATGACGTTCCACTCGATCGAGTCACCGCTAACCGTACCTGGTGCAGCAGCTATGGCGGCAAGGCATAAAAACACCCATGATTGAAGCGTCAAGTCATCATGGGCCAGGAGGATCAGTAAACTAGCGCTGACGTCCTGTTGCAAGCCATCGTGAAGATCCGCCCAATGGCGATCAATGATGAAGAGTAAGACTTGCAGACACTCGGACCGCCTCTTAGGGGGAATAGCCTCCTTTCGAATACAGCTCAGAATCTCTGATAGTGGTGTTTCACGTCGTCGTCGTTTGACTTCAGGGTATCCGTCGTAACTTTCGGAAAAGAGGTGAAGCTGCAAGAGCACGTAAGATTGAGATTCATATGATGACAAACGAGACATACTTCTCGGGCGACGTCAGCGTGAAGTTCCAGTATAGTCCATGACAACGCCTGAGATGCCTCGAACTTATATCCAGAGCGAAATGTCGCTGCCTCAAAAACGCCCTTGGCACCATTACCTTCATGCAAATGTAATCGTAACGAGTCTAATGACAAGCCTTCAAACACAGATCGATCAATATCATCTTGGAAACACCTGAATAGTTCATCGACCAGCGCTGGGACGTGGTCTTTCAAAGACTTGTCCAACATTTGAGACATCACCAATGGGAAAAATGTGGTCATAGTGACCATCAACTCCTCCCTGATTCTCTTGTCCTTTTTTTCTTTGCCGTTCCAGTATGAGAGTAATGGCGACCACATTCTTGAGGCGAATTCGGCGCATGTCTTAATGAGATTCAGCTCGACTTGGGAGAATATCAGATTGATAGAAACGACCGCGTTGGTATGGGCAACACTCCAAGACGGATACATTGCAAAGAATCGACGAATTCGCTTAAGGATGTTTTGTGCGATTCCAGGGCGCAAGTACGGAGCGTGGGGTGAACGCAATAAGATGACTAGTAGACCCATGAACTCGATCTGCTCTTGAGACATTGTACGTGTCGCTTGAGTAGGTGTCTTGGACCTTGGGTGGGGTTGGGTATCAGGTAAGGGTGAGCGTGGACGTGCTCTCTTCGACCCAGTAGCAACATTAGAAGTGCCATCATTTCCAGCATTGTTGTCGTTTATTTCATCTACCTCCATATCCACATCTATATCGGACTCGTCGAGGTAGTTCTCCCCAAAGCCGCGAGGAGACAAGAGGCTGTCATCCAAAATGACAGCAAAAGCTAGGGAAACCAAAGAGATCCATAGATCCGAGTCAAGATGATCGAGGTGCGCGTCATGAGAACAAATAACAACGATGCTCTTGATGTAATTTAGCGACAACGGGGCGAGAAGATGGTCTCGTGCTTTATCTACCATAGAGTTCATAAGGTGTTCTAATAGATGTTGGACGACCTTATATGGCAGACGGGCGATGTTGCGCTGCGTTCCATTGCGAACCACGCTTCCAGCCTTTTCTAATCGGGAAATTGAAGTTGCGGTTGCCTTCTGGAGGCCCTTCTTGACACAACTCGCCCTCTCAGCGGCAACTGCGAGGAATAAAGCTTGAAACACAGCTAGCCACCTTTGGATACTACCTGAAAGACGGTCCACAACTTCATCATTAGCTAAGGCCTCATCCATGAAGGCCAGAGCATCCTGGCGCGGTTTGACCTTATCGCTCCGAAGTCCATCGATAATGTTCGAGAGGCTATGCGCCATATTTACCTTGAAAAAGTTGCTAAAAATCAGATTACAAGAGGTCTATAATATGAGCTGAACCTTACATATCTCTTGGGATCGTGTTTGCCACAGTTGACAAATTCCCGGAACGCGTCTATACAGGCCCACAGCTGACTCAGCCTATGTCATGTCACTTCTTTGTCTTTACACTTTGTTTGCCGTTCTGTACCATCTTAGAAGCACCGTATGTGTTTAGATTCTCCAAGTACTTAAAGCATGCTTCGAGAGCATCTCACTCTGTGTTTATCGTTCGAACCGTCGCATACATACCATGTTTCCCACAAAACACCCACAATTAAACATCAAGCTCGCTTGCTATGGTCTCCCGTCAATTGACGCTCTTCTCTCGCTTCCACCAACTTGCTATGGCTGTTGTCTTTGGACCTACTCCAGAGGTCTTTTTTTTGTCGTATGGCAGACGCTATGCGGCCCAGAATGTTCCCTTGTCATTCACAGACAAGGTTAAGACAGGCGAACTTGCGCCCATGGCCACATCTTGGATCAGGTAAAAACCATACTCAGGGTGTATTAATTGCTCATGGGTTTATGACACGTATATAGCATGGATCCAACCTGCCACTTCTGGGTGGCACGCAACTACGCCACGGATAACAGTGAGTGAGAGTTACAGGACTGAGGACTGCAACTCAAACACTTATGTTCATCTGTAGTATATTTCTCGAATAACATACCTGACAATGTGCGTGCCCATCTTATAGGCACTCCACCCGTGCCCAAATCCGACTACGTTTCGTTTCCCGCCGAACCCAACGGTTATTTTGCGAAACATGCCGTCGGCCACGGATGGTCCACGGATCTTCACCCCATTTACGAAAACGCCATATTAGAAACGCGTGAAAAGATAGGAGCGCGCGCATTCGATACTTCATTACGAAGTATTTTGTTCGGCACACGAGGGACCTATTTAATAGCGTTCGACTCGGGGTTCATCGCTAAGCTCGAAGGCAAGTGCGCAATGCTGAGGGCTGCACTTTCCGAGTTCAGTGAACCCGGATGGTCTTTGGAGCACGGCAGCGCACTGAGTGTGCACGACGAGGATCACTACTTCCTCAAATTCTCGAAGCGAGGGATTCCCGGTCTTCAGATTCGTGCAAATATGCCTGAGTTTATGAACTCAAAATTTGTGGAGCTCATGCGACAAGCTGAGACTCCTCTTGAACAACGTGGTGGGTTGGTTGATATCCTGCATACCTACTGTCGCTGAAGCAACCAAGAAATTGCATGGGAGCAGCAAATGATTCAGGTTAGCGTGCCAACACTGAATGTTTCTTGCCATATTGTTTGACGACACCTGAGCAGCAAATGATTGCACAGCGGAGCGCAAATCGATCAGTGCGCTGATTTTACCTGGGTCCAGTCTACACTAATAATATTTTGGCGTATAGCAACAAGCAGACCTTCTTTTAGCGGATCCAACTCGAATAGGGAGTCTCAGCCCACTACCAGTCAACTCGCACATCCCGCCTGATGCACCCAACTGGGAGTACCGATGATCCTTCCCAGGTTTCGTCATCTTATGCCCTAAGCGTCAAAAATTGTGTACTACCCGTGTCACGTAGATTTTTGTTTCGGTAGATGCTGCGGTCCCTGAAAAAATATATTGATAGACATGATGCCACAAGGAAACAAGACGTTTCTAGAAACGCACGTTCACAGCCAATGATTAGGAACCTGGGATCTGGGAGCGGGAGTCAACCAGCGCCAATGGATTTGTAGATCATAGGCGTCGAATTTGATATCTAGGATGATTAGGTATAAGGTTATGGGCAACGCGTCGTCAGCTATGCGAAGATTGAAATTAGAGATGATTAAAAAAATCGAAGTTGAAATTATGTTCCAGTATGCAACGAAGGTATCGAGAATTCCGCTCGAATCCCGTGGGGATTCCGCAGTTCCAAAAGGTTCTAACTTCTAAGTGTCGAGCCGTATATGCCGAAGTCGTAGCGCGCCAACCTATCGGTTTAGCAACTATACATAAAGCGCGATTTACCAATTACATAAGAACGCGTGGCCCCTAAAATCTTGTTTCCTTCAAGTATAATGCGTTGAGTGGCGTTTTGTGTAACTTATCCCGCACTATAAGAAGGCATAGCTTCCTTGCAAGTGTGTATTTGACAATGGTATGGACACCAGGTAGGTGATGTTACACGTCGCTTGATCATTCCCACTTACTACAATACCAGCTTGTTTCCCTTTTCCATCTACGTTTATGTTGCTGAGTTTATGACAAATAATCTGTCAACGCGTGAGGCATAGGTATAAGATTGTATAAGATTTCTATTTTCTGGCCCGTCTCTGCCCGCACAGGTCATTTTCTATCCATCCTGATGACGGTTCTGATGAAGGCCATGATGAACCGAGTTACTACTCGGTTTGGCGATAGAAGTGCATATCTTCACATAGTTGTAGATGTGTTTATTACTCGCCCAACACATCTCGCCCTTTGTTATTCTAATTGCATAAATCTCGTCTTTGTGAATTATTAATTACGGTTGAAGAATGAAAAATAAAAAATAGTTGTAACAAGCATGACATGAAGTTCTATACTTGTGTCTCGATGGATACCACAACCAATTTTCAAACAGCAAAAAAGTGGAAGCCCCCCAGGTTGAGAAAACCAAATTTGGGGACAGTTGAGAATCAGGCAAATCATAGCCTCAAATCAAAAGGGCCTGACCGGGAATTGAACCCGGGACCACTCCCAATTTTGGCCAAAGGCCGGGTGTAACCCGAAGGGAGTATCATGCTACTAGACCATCAAGCCACTTTTAGAGCTTGCCTTTTTATCATGTATAGTAGTAACCTCTCAGATCTCAGCTTCAGAAGCGCTCTCCCGGGCCTGAAAGAATTGCAAACTTAGTGTTCTGATTTGCTTCTGATTCCCGTATTGTAAAAGAAACACATAACTGCATCATTGTCTCGCAAGCATCGTAGTACAGCTCCAAGAGAGAGAGATCCAAGACGTTAGGAGTCGGAGCGCGAAATTTTGAATACCCGTCCACGAATGGAACAACTTTCAATTCTTCGGGCGTCGGGAGAACTTCCGTTCCAAGCTCTCATGATTACTACTAATAGTGGACGTAAAGTCTCCGCGAACTAGAGTGTCTGGCCGTGTGATTCAATATATAGGTAGCTTCGGCCCACGTGTCTTCTGTGAACGTCTGGCAGCCTTATATCTCTAGATGTGACGGGTCGGTGGGTCTAAGTGTATTCAACCCCGCTGATCCAGCCATGCTATCTGTAAGCTACATTCTACTGGACTTACTTGTGACATGCAGCACACTGCTACTGCTACGTTACCTGTACTTTTCAAAGACACGGATGGCTGGGCCTCCACTCCCACCAGGACCCAAACCGCTTCCAATCATAGGCAATTTGATGGACTTGCCGAAAGATAAAGCATGGGAAACCTATGGTCGTTGGGCGAAGGTATACGGTGAGTCATGTAACTTCCCGACTTCAGCTTATATTCCCCTGTTAAAGGAGAGCACAGGAGACGTCATACATGTCTCTATATTTGGAAGGCCTATCATTATTCTAAACACGTACAGAGCTGTGAACGACTTGCTGGAACGTAAATCCTCTATATATTCGAGTCGCCCTCATCTTACCATGTTCCACGAGTTGTAAGTTCGTATTATGAACATAAGTGACTCATTCAACCCCTTCACAGAATGGATTTTGGTGGTGGGACAGCTTTCCAACCGTATGGCAGCGTTTGGAGAAAGCATCGGGCAGTCTATCATAAACAGATGCATCAGGTCGCGGTACGAGAGTTCCAACCAGCACAAGTAAAGGCAGCCAGAGGTCTCCTCAAGCTACTCTTTCAATCTCCTCAGCACTATCGCCAACATATTTACCAGTGAGTTTGCTCCCAGCAATGTTTTCAGATTATTTATCGAGTCAACACAAGTATGACGGCGGGTATAGTAATGAGCATCGCATATGGACACGAAATCGCACCAGAATCTGATCCCTTCGTGGCTTTAGCCGAGAGCAATACAAAGGCGTTTGTAAAGGCAGTACGTCCTGGCGCATATCTTGTGGATATATTCCCAAAACGTTGGTTTTTATTTCCCTTCTTTCGTTGACATCGACAAGCAACTGCCATTTGCAATAGTCAAACATGTACCTGCATGGTTTCCTGGAGCAGGCTTCAAAATTGAGGCGCAAAAAACACGAGAAAATGTAAAGCAAGCGAGGGATGTTCCATTTAGAGACGTGAAGAAACATATGGCATGTACCTTGGTTTTTCCTGAGATACGCGAGCTTAAGGAAATGTATAGGCCGCGGGCACAGCACGCCCCTCGTTCGTAGCGAACGCTTTGATTGAACTATCTACGAATGACGAGGAAAACGAAGATGTGGATGTTATCAAGCGTGTTGCTGGCGGGATATTCGGTGGTGCGTTGTTCACGCTATTAGTAGGTCAATTTACCAATGATAACGTTCCGCGTCTCGTACAGCGGGGACCGGCACTGTAAGCAATTTCGTACTTTTTTTAACGACACTTAAACCTCTAGCTATAGACTGCTTCTTCTATTCATTCGTTCCTCCTTGCGATGATAATGTACCCCGATGTACAAAGGAAAGCACAAGTAGAACTTGACAATGTTGTTGGACAGGAGCGGCTTCCCCAATTCAGTGACCGTCCACACCTTCCATACATTAACGCAATAGTAAAGGAGGTATTTAGGTGGTTCCCTGTGGCTCCTACAGGTTTTTAAACTTTTGCTAAAATTTTCACTACTAATTTCTACTGCGATACATTCTAGCCCTTCCCCATGTCACCACAGAAGACGACGTGTATGAAGGTTATTCCATTCCAGCTGGTAGCGTCGTGATTCCGAACTCTTGGTAGGTGCTGAGAAGTCCATGCGGGACACTTGACATAGCTGACATTGCTTTCCCAGGAATATATTACACGATCCGGAGACATACCCTGACCCTTTGACCTTCCGTCCAGAACGTTTTCTGCCCGATAAAGAGGGCAAAGTCGCAAGAGATCCTGCAATCAGCGGCACGTTTGGCTTTGGAAGGCGGTAGGTCTTGATTTTCAACGTTACCGTGCCGATACTAACGGACAACACACATTCCTAGAATATGCGCTGGACGAAATCTTGCCGATGCCTCTGTTTGGATAGCTGCAGCGTCCATTCTTTCCGTATTTAATCTATCCAATGCAATTGATGAAAATGGGCAAAAAATCGACCTTTGTTTTGCGTTGGAGCCTGTTCCCGGATTCTTCAGGTATTGTTATGTTATTCCCCAACCATCTCATCCTAAAATTGCCTTCAGCCACCCTCAACCTTTCCCTTGTTCAATTAAACCACGATCAAAGGAAGCTGAAGCTATGGTCATGAGATCGGAGCAATGAAATGTGAAGTGACATATTAAAGAGACATGCCAGAATAAAACAGTTTTTGTCGTCTATTCCAATGACATGTAATGTCACGCTTGCATTTTTTATCCCCTCTACAATGATTTACTTAGCCTGACATGGTTGATGTAGTTTATGTGGAGCCTCGATTTGGTGAGGAAAAATACCCTACCGTTTGTTCCCAGATTCGGTAGCTGCAGCCTGAGACTATGCAGCTCCAACGTGTTCCTTATATCACGTTTTTATAAAATCTGAAAAATGCTTCCCCTTCATTGATACACCGTATTCCCCTCATATATTCTAAAGGACATCGAGCAACTGAAAAAATACACCGGTCTTGGCCATTTATACCTGTCAATCATCAAAGAGTGGACGGAATTCCTATAGCCCTTGTGGTGAGTAACCGTGTAAAAACACCCACATTGCATTTACCTTTTCCCCTCTCCTGTCTGTGGGTGCTTGACTCGGAGCCATCTGGTCAACATCCATTCCTGTCTCCCTGTCGCTTGTATTCGCTTTTGGCTTCTCGGTATCCAAGCCATCTCTGAGTCCAACGCGTGTACTCATCCCAACCTCTTCTCCCTCTTCCTCCATCATTGCTTCAAATTCTGCGTAGTCCATATGCTCGATCCCAAGCCCAGACGAGCGCAGAATGTCAAGATCGACGTTCGAGAGTTGCGATGCGCCCGGTAGGAAAAGAGGCTCTCTGCTGTTCAACTGTTCGGGAGCGTCGAATAAAGATGTGTCATTAACAACGGATGGGCTGCCGTGTATTTCCGTTTGCTTTGAAGCTAGCGGCTTTGGCGGGATCTGGGTCGTCGTCGCAGGCTCGGGTGTCGCTCTTGTTTCGGTTGCCGCAGACAGTGGTTTCTTCTTAACTGCTCTTGTTGTATGTTTACGGCTCCCATCTGCTGAGTAGGCTTCCTCTTGGTTCTCCTCGTGAGTCCTTTTGCGTAGGTTGATAGCAGCAGGGGCGTCGGATGACTTGGTAGAGTCGTATACACTAGGGGTTGTGGATATGAGAAATAGGAACTCTGAGTCGGATGAGTCCGTGTTGAACTCTATATAAATGGGTGCCCTAGGCTCAGTAAATCGTAAGTCTAGTGCTACGGACAAGGATTCAGCGAGGGTCACTGTCGCCTAGCAGAAGATATATTAGAGAAGAAACGCACGCAAGCCGTGAATCACGCACGTTAAACTCACGGAGATGCAGGCCAACACTGATGGGAGGTTCGTGGATATTGTAAGAGTCAAATTCGTCCGCACTCATTTTAATTTCAGTAGAGATAGATTTTCCTACAAAAAGATTTAATTACTTCAGACCAATCTCTTGCATGAGACGGGTTACCTTTGGCCTCTCCGCCAAGCTCTTTGCTCTTGACTTTGACGTCGTTGAGTCCGAATAACCATATGAGTTCGGGGTCGCTTTTTGTGCCCTTTGCGTGAGGAAAATGTGCGAGTATGTCCTTCAGAGCGTGAGGGCCAACGGTGACTCGTGATTCTATGGGGGAAGCTGAAATCTGAGGTGCATAGGGGCCTGTCGGAGTCAAAAGAAGTAACTTGTGGGTTTTGACAACGCCTGTGGTTTCGTTAGGTTATCAGTAAGATAAGAGTGTAAAGCTTGAAGGCAATGCGGGACGTTGTAAAGCCGAAAGGTAAAATAAACACAAGCTTCATTTTCTGAAAAGCGACAAGCAGACAATATGGTCGAGCACCTCAGGCCGCGTAAAACGAAATGTTATGCATCACCAGGGAAAAAATACGCACCATGTTTGCAATGAAGCTTAACGATCAGTTTTCTCTCTAAACTATCAGTTTCATCTTCCTCCGGAGTGCTAGGCTCTTGACTGTTATCTGAGATTGATAAAACACATCGATCTACAGTCTTTTCCACAGTTTTGTGTTTGAGAATCGATAGCAAGGACTGTGAAGGAGAGTATGAGCAAAATGAATATGCATCTAGGTTGATATTGGATACCTTCACGAGCAGCTGGCCAGTAATTCTCTGTAGTTCGTCCGCATCCGGAGGCGTCTGAAAAGTCAACCCGGGAGGCGTGAGATTCACCTTCAACTTTTCAAAATACTGTGACGTGAGTTTTATTCGGCAGAATGCTGATTTTGAAGAGTTTGTAGCACTGAGAAAAAGAAAGTCTGGTGCCGCCTGTATTATGACATCGTCACTATATCGTGAGAGACATGTCAGAGACTTTGTAAACGCTAAATATTCCACATATTAGGGTAAAACATATATTTCCAGTAAGAACATACACTTCAGCGTTTGTGCTCCAATTACGGCTTGAAATGACATGTAAAATCTGGGCTACGTTTAGAGCGCGAGGTGTGACAACACGTGACTGTCACGTGCGTTCGACCTCGGCCTGCGA